CTAAGAGGCTGCAAGATCATACATGTCATCAAAATCCTACATGGAGGGGGGTAAAAGAGAGAAAAACAAATAGTTCCTTAACAGTCCGACTACAGCACACGCAACGAGAAAAAGATCCCAATCTCATGCATTCTTTTACTGCTGCTATTTATTCTTTGCAACCAACTGATTAGTCCGCCCAATATACAAGCCTACCTGTAGAGGGAGAGCGAGCTTACTATCCTTGCTCGTCTTGCTCTTAATAACTTTGCAGGGTGTCATAAGCATCAAGCGCTCCATCTGACAAAAGCTTGAAGTACTTAATAAGGGCATGTACACATTGTTTAGATCAAGACCGCGACACCTAAAGACCCACTACTTATATGTTGTGAACCACTGCTACGTTAGAGGGAGAGAAATTGGTAACACTGACATGGGTTGAGAAATTAACAAGCACATGCATACTACTTAGGGTGAATGGTGTGGGGGGGGGGAGTGTATGTTGGGGTGGGGGTCGGCGGGGGGAGGACTCCTATTAGCCCATGTTGTTGTTGTTGCCCTTAGTTGTTCTTATAATGGGGGACAACATTGCTAATGTTGTTTGTGCATTTGTTATTGCTTGCATACATCATTTAGTCATGGATTGAATGTTCAACTAAGTTGTTGGGTGTTTATCTTCTTTTGGAGCATGCCTACCTACAAATTATCAACTGGCCCGTTTCGGCAATGGAACTATGGAAGTCTACCAACAAGGTAGCAGCATGAACACTAGTCACTGTCCAAGACCGATCGCTCCATTTTCGTGGTGGTTGTCATCTTGTCTATAATTTTTTTATATACTTCAAAGGTGCGCCAACTTATATGATGTTGAGACAAGCAACAACACCTACAAATAGCAAGCCATAGGATGTTCATGATAGAACATACAAAATTAGAAAGAAGGGGACATTTCTAGGTGCATAGCTAAAAATTAGAATGACTAAAATTTATCACACCTTTTCGCATTCACCTTGCTATGTATCTTTTAGCATTCACCTTGCTATGTATCTAAATAACTTGCTAAACAGGGCCAAGATTATCACCACCCCATTTCTCAAACTAACCACACATGATTGATTATATCGGGGATCCCGTCCCGTCGATCCAAAGCAATTGCCATGAACACCACCACGGGCGAAGCCCAGGTGAGACCACTGGATGCCCAGGCACCTAGGCCAAAATTGAAACTACGTTATAAGGAGCAATTTTTCACCCTTTGTGCACCCCCCTTGGCCCAAAAGAAGGCACCCCCACCAGCCCAAGCCCATGTCGTAGCTTGCTTCCAAGAGAAGGATGCCAATCGAGTCTCCACAGGAAATTCCGCGAGGAGCGAGGAGGCCGCAGCGTTTCGCCTGATGCAGCGAGGCAGCAACGCAAGGGCGGGGGCGGCAAGGCACCGACGCCAGCGACGCTCCCTGCTGAGTGCTGACGCCTGTGCCCCTTCCCCTTCCTGGCTTCCCTATCGTCGAGCTAAGCCGAGCACCCGACGGCCGCGGCAACAGCAGGATGTGAGCGCCCTCACCTTCACGGCCTCTCTCTATTCTAGTCGGTCCAAAAGAAAAGGCAAGGAATCAAACCCTCAATTTATTTATCTTGTATTTCAATCAAGTTAAACCTCACATCCGATTTTGATTCTTCCTGGTTATATGCTGAAATTGAGTAGCCTGCAGTTTAGGGTTAGTGTGTTAATTGGGGTTTTCTCTTTTTAATATATGCATATACATTTATGATAGTATGGATCTGCAATTGGAGTATGATTGCAAATGATAGGTAATCATGGAGAGGTTTTATAAACGGAAAGGTCAAGACATAGACACTGCCAACAATAACAGAAATTCATGTCTAGATGATCTCAATTGGGAAGAGGAGATTAAATATGATCCAGGCTTGAGAAAACAAATTGATGCTTACCATCCTAACCATAGAGAAAAGGTCAGAAGAAAATATTTGGAAAATGGACCTTGCCAGCCTCGCACATGTAATTTTCCCATTTCAGATATTGGAGACAAGACTTGAAGATTTATCCTGGAATGGTTTGATGAGTTTGGAAGTTGGCTTGAATATAGTGAGTCAACGGACAGAGCATATTGCTTTTGTTGTTTCTTATTCAGAGAAAAGAAGGATGCAGGATATGAATCATTTGTAGTTAATGGTTGGAATGGTTATCATAGGAAAGGAAGGCTAAAGTCACATGTTGGTGATGTTGGTGGCTTACACTATAATGCAATGAAGAAGTGTGATGATTTGTTACAAAGAAGGCAACACATAGATGTTGCTTACAATCAGATAAGTGAGACTGCAAATAAGGCTTATTTTACTCGGTTGAATGGATCCATTGATACTGCTAAGCTATTGTTGAAGCAAGGATTGCCTTTTCGTGGCCATGATGAGTCACTAGAATCCAACAACAAAGGGAACTTCAAGGAGTTTTATGATTGCTTAGCACAACATGATCTAGAGTTGCGCAAAGCGGTGAGTACAAATGCTGCATCTAATAGTTGTTTGCTAGCTCCTGAAATTCAAAGGGACATTGTTGAATGTTTTGCAAATGAGATTGTACACTCTATCCTTGAAGAACTTGGCAATGATGTGTTTTGCTTGCTAGTTGATGAGTCAAGAGATGTTTCTTGCAAAGAACAAATGGCTGTGGTCTTGAGGTATGTTGACAAATGTGGGATCGTGAAGGAGAGGTTTGTTGGCGTTGTGCATGTGACTGAAACAAGTTCTTCCCACCTGAAGTCATCTATTGGTTCTCTACTTGCAAAGTTTAAACTAAGCTTAAAGCAAGTTCGAGGCCAAGGATATGATGGTGCTAGCAATATGCGAGGTGAGTTCAATGGCTTGCAATCATTGATCATGAGAGAAAGTAGGACAACTTATTATGTGCATTGCTTTGCTCACCAACTTCAACTAGTCATTGTGGCCGTCGTGAGAAAACATAAGGACGTAAGCAATTTCTTAAGCATGATTTCTATCTTATTAAATGTGGTGGGTGGATCAGCTAAGAGACGGGATATGATTAGAGATATTAATCATGAACATGTGACAAAGGCATTAGGTTGTGGGCAACTTGAGACTGGGACAAGGTTAAATCAAGAGCAATGCCTTCAAAGACCCGGATGGAGTTCTCATTACAAAACTTTCAAAAGTTTAGTCAACATGTTTCCTACAATAGTTGAAGTGTTAAAAGTTGTTGAAAAGGATGACAGAGATTGGAAAAATAGAGATCAAGCATCAAATCTTCTAGTATACTTCAAATCATTTGACTTTGCCTTTTATTTGCATCTCATGTTGACTACATTAACCGCCACAAAAATGCCTTGTCATTAGCATTGCAATGCAAGGATCAAGACATTGTAAATGCCATTGGATGTGTGAAATCAACTAGACTCCATTTGAATAATCTTAGAAGAGATGGGTGGGACAAATTATTAGATGAAGTGAATGAGTTTTGTGACATGCATGAAATTGACCGAGTGGAAATGGAAGATGCCTATGTTGATCCCCGACAGCCTAGAAAAAAAATCATGAATTACATGCAAGCATCACTATGAAGTGGATTGCTTTAATGATGTTATTGATTGGCTAGCTCAAGAGCTTGATAGCCGCTTTAGTGAGACAAGCTCTCAATTGCTTGTTTGCTCGGCCACTTTCGACCCAAGGGATCGATTTCATGCTTTTGATGTGCAGACTTTGATGAGCTTAGCAAAACTATATCCTGATGATTTTAGTACTGATGATTTGAGAGACCTTAGTCATTACCTTTGCCTTTACATTGCCGATGTGCAAGAAGATGCTAGATTCTCCAACATCAACACTATTGGTGAGCTCTCTCAAAAATGGTTGAGACAGGGAAACATCGTTGTTATCCATTGGTCTATCGACTTTTGAAGCTTGTACTAGTACTGCATGTCGCTACTGCAACAGTTGAGAGATGCTTTTCTGGAATGAAGATTGTCAAAACAAGCTTGTCTAATCGCATGGGTGATCAACACTTGAGTCATAGACTTATTTGCTATCTAGAGAAAGAAGAAATGAAGAAAGTTAGCAACGAGGTTGTGGTTCGTCGTTTCATGACCATGGAAGGAAAAGGGCGTAAATATGATCTCTGATAGGTAATGCAATGTATCTACTTTTAATCGGTAGTTCTACAATTTATTTGCTAAATAATTGACATATTTGTTTTCTTTCCTTTTAGGCTAGTGGGATCTTCATCATGGTCTCCTGGATCACATATTTTGCTATATGAGGCTTGTTTTGTTCATGATTTTGACATTCTATCAATGAATACACTTCTTTTTGTTAAATGGTGAGTGTTATGTTTCAACCAAATTCTCATCTCTATTGCTAGAAGTCGAATTTGATATTAAAATATGATAGTTGTACATTAGTTATGCTATTTTTGATTGAACATCATATTGGTCAATGTAGTTATGTATTAAGTGGTGCACCCCGATCATTTTGCTCTAGCTTCGCCGCTGAACACCACCGCCAACAAACAGAAAACAATGAGAGCATGCTCTGGTGACGCCAACATATTAGCCAACGAGATGCCTGATAGTTGGGCAAAAACGAACACTTTCTGTCCTCAATAGCAACACAAGCTAACAACATTTAAACCCAGTTCTCAAACACAACTCTGTTAGTACACGTTCCAACACTGCATCCCAACAAAGGGGACGTTCTTCAGGAAAAATCCACAATCACACGTGGCACGTGAGGGGGCCAGGTGCCCTTGGGACAAAAGACTACTATCATTACAATGATCCTAATGCTCACCACCATAGACGATGGACACCTGCCGCCCACCCAAGTGCATCCATCCAAACCTGCTAACCCCAAAATATGTTAGCGATGGAGGGGACTGAGATTTGGGGATGCTCCCTGTACAGACCAACAAAGATGCATTTACCTACCGGTTGTGAAACATTACCACAAGGGCGAGTTGCTGCAGCTCAGCGGATGTGGCAGCCTGTGGGAGATTATTCATTTTGGTGAGAATTACTGGTAGGCGTAGAGGCATTGTTTCGCCGGACGAAGCGGCCTGCTGGGCGTAGCCCCCTGTCGTGGCCACGCTCCCTGAACGCTTGTCCAGAAGCAGGGGGGCTCTCGGTTCGTTCTTCCATGCTCGGGCTCTGCTGGAAGTCTGTAGCTTTATTTTGGGATCCGACTGGCTGGTATTCAAGATGGCTGCCACCCCTCCGCCTATCCGCATTCGTGCCATGGCTTGGCCTCCCAGCATCATAACCCCCCCTTCCCCTGTGTGCCCCACCTCCCCTGTGGTACCTTGCATTGGGCTGGCCTTGGCGACGCAGTGCAGGATTAGCCTGCTCCTGTTCAGTCTCACTCTTCTGGTTACCATCTTCCCGTGTCAGGTTCTCCTGTTTGCTGTGTGAGACCTCATCAGCGCCATCACTCATTTTCATCGGTTTACTGCTGGTGTCTTGATGGGTAGTTGTATCAGATCCTTTGGAAATGTTGATCTCAAGCCCACCTCCATGGGACTCCACTGGCCCTTCAACAGCAATCTTGCTGTCTGAGCTGTTCTGAGGATGGGAATTGGCTTTTGGCTTCCAGGTTCTAGAATGTGAAACTACCCCGCTGCTTTTCACATCAGATCTTGGCACGTTCCTGTGATTGGATGAGTTTGAATCCATGATTGGTGTTGCTGATTGATAGACAACGTCATTCTTGCCCTCTCTACCTTTGCTCTCATTTGAGTAGCTACTTGCTTCATTTCTTTGAGCCTTAACATGCTGTCGCCTTTGCCTGTTAGCTGCACTATGTTCTTTTGCACCACCAACAGATAGTGGAACTGTTTGAGCTGGAGCTGAGCTATTCTCAGCAGCAGCATCTGCATTGGATTTTAACTGTGTATCTTGCTTGCCAAGATCAACAGGCTGATTCTGATCGGTGCAGTTCTGAACCTCCTTTGATTCATAAGAGCTGTCTGCTTGCTCAACAGAATCTGGTGCCACCAAAGCTGATTCATTTGGATTCCTCTTGCGCCAAGAAGGATTAGATTTGCCCCCATGTCCTTTGCTAGTTTTCTTGGATTCGGCTGCAACATCTGATTTAGCAGCACTGGGCTTATCTATTGCTTCCTTATCATGACTTGGATTCTGTTGTTGCAGCTCTTTGGACATAGGCTTAGGAACATATCTTTCCATTTCAGCCCTCTTTGCTCTTGTCACATTCTCCCCATCAATGATGGCTTTCCCTGTTGGTTGAGTGAGATCAGCTACTGCTGCATTTGGCATGGTTCCATCAAACTGCTCATTCTGCACTGGTGGCTTAACTGGTGCCCACAAGACACCATCATTCCCATGTGGCTTCTCTACAGGCCGAAGACCATGCTGATGCTTTCCAGATTTTCTTGCTTGATGAGGACTTGGTCGGCTACTTTCTGTACTATTTGTTCCATCTGGTGATTTAACACGCTCCTGATTCATAGGAGCAAGTGAAATTCCACCAACAGTTATACTTCCAACAGTTACAACAGTGCCTTCAGTAGGAACAATAGAGCTATTGATGATAACGCCACCAGTATGTGCCTTTGGCTCGGTAGAGACTTTCACTGTATTCTGCTCATTAAAAACCACAGGTGGATGTTTAGAAGTAACTGGAGCATCATCAACCTTTTTCTTACTTCTCAAATGCCGGGTTCCCTTCTTGTTCTGAACTGGGGGATCATCATGTGGTGCAACAACAGCCCTTACTGTGTCGACGGGAACATCAACATTTTTCTTAACATTCCCAGTGGTTATTGAAGCACTTGCCTTCTCGCCAGAAATTTTCTCCTCTGAAACAACATGTCTTTTCCTGTAGCCTTGCTTAGCCTTCACCACACTGATGTCATGTGACTGTGAGATACTCTTCTGCACAACATGCTCCATGTTACTGGGTGTGTTTCTGACCGAGGATGAGGCGGCATGAGCAACAGGGTCTTCACCATCTGAAGCATGTGATTGTGCAGTAGACTGGGACTGTACATGAACCATAGCATGATTGGGATCATTAAGAGGCAGAAGAGCAGTAAGCCTATTAGGCGCAATAACATCACGTGGTTCAGCAATTGAAGTGGCAAGTTTAGCAGTCACATCAAGTCCAGCCTGTTGCTTATCATGCGCATCATTGGTTTCTACTTCTGTATCATTTGGTTTCTTCTGAAGTACTGATCGCCTGTTCAATTCTTCCAACTTCGCGAGCGCTTTTGCTTTTTGGTTCTTTATCCGTTCCTCTTCCTCAGCTTTCAACTTTTTTGCACGTTCTGCAGCCAACTCCTTCATTTTTGCACGCTGAATAGGAAAAACAACAAATATGACACTAGTGAGTAATCAAATCATCATTCAAATTCCTAAGAACCATGTTCGACTCACTACCTGACTGCTTTGAGCATTTGATACTGCATAAAGCTTTTTGTTCTACATATTGCAGAAATTCCACAAGCAACAAAAGCAAACAAATGTCTTGATTAGCAAAAGCTAGTGTTTTTTCTCATGATGTGCACCAGCTTTACTGTGATATGGATGCCAAACAGAATCCCCGATGCACATAGACAAGGTAGGAGAACTTAATATAACTTCAAGCAATGGCAATGTTGCAACAAAAAAACAAAATTTTCCAACTGCCTGATTTTCATATACACAAGACAGTTGAGTTTTCATCAGATCAGAGTATTAAATTTTCGCTGATAATGGCCACTGGTCAATATCCCCCCTAAAGCTAGTTGCAATAAAGAATTTCCAAAAGATTAGAATGATAGCCATAAAATTTGTAAGAATACCACAAGTCTACAACTATATACCTGAGACTCATAATCAAGTGAAGCTGGCATATCATCAGGTACAGTCACAGGTTGCAGCTGCGAAGCACTCTCAGGTTGTTGACCATGTTGAATATTATTCCTCAGATCAGCTACTGGTAATGAATTAGTTGTGGAACTTTCTCCCCGTCCATGACTTCTAGCTGGCCTATCTTTAGAAGGACCATGGTAACTGTTTCTTGAAGAATCACCTCTCCTATGTACATGATCGTTAATTGGATCACCAAGCTTTTCAGCTTTGCTAAATTCAGTTAACTGTGAATGTGTCGGTCCAAGAATTTTACCCTCGATGGGCACATTTGGTAGTCTCTGCACCACAGGAGAAATACGGGAAACAGAAACCGCCTGGTCAGATGCACAAACCATACCAGTGGATGAAACATCAGTGCTTTTTGGATGCTTCTTGAATTCCTTGGATGAAGCTGGTTCTGGGAGATTATATGCATCAACATTTCTGGCTTTGTTGTTCAAACTCTCGATTTTCTCTATTAAAGCTGCATTCTTCTTAATGACAGGTTGTTGATCAAGTGCAAATGAGCTATCCTCCTTGAACTTCTTGCACAGAGTGCCATCAACAATTTCTCGGTGATGGGAATGTGCATTTTCATAAACAGATAGATGTTCTGTACCAACTGGACCACTCTGGTTAGGCACCGATTTTGTAAGTACCCTGGTTCTTTCAGTTTCACCAAAGGTGTCCCTTGTATCTGTCCTCATGTTCATATCAGTCTGGTTTCCATCAGGATGTGGAAGAAGTGGCGGTGCTGGCTGCACATTCCTTTCAAATTCACGGGAACCTCCTAGGCGATCTGGATTATCATGCAAACTCCCAGGCTGTCCTCGACGAAACACATGTACTTTATCAGATTCCATCTGCTCCCTTGGAACCGTTTCATGTTTGCCTGGTCTGTTCTGAGGATGTCCAGGGTGAAACCTGTCATTCTGATTTGGGAACTGATTTAATATTCCAGGTTGGTGAGGACCTCCAATAAAATGAGGATCTCTAACATTGGCATTATTGAAATTTGGTCGAGGGCCATAATACTCATCATAAGGTACTGGACCTTGATAAACTGGCCTGACTGGAATAACAGGCTGATTCATCATATAGGAATTAGGAGCCATAGGATGATACACATCTCCACTTTTAGCGTGGTATCCACCATGCCCAGGGCCCTGCCTTGCTGCAGCTTCGGAGTTGGGTGGGAATTGACCATAATAACCAAATGGTTCAACAGGGAAACCACCAGGGGGACCAACAGGTCTGTATGGCCCACCTGGCACTGGTCCTCTATGCCACATTCCCTCAGGTGGGTGACCAGGAGGTGCACGCCATGAATCAAACTGCGGAGGCAGCATAGGAAAATTTGGTGGATATGGCTGTGGTTGCAGGCCTTCATTTGATACACTTGTGGCGGGGACAGGAGCACTTCCAGTGTGTGCATGCTGCTCTGTCTTCATGATATCAACAGGGTGATTATTGGATGGCGAGATTACTTCACCAGTTCCTAGCACACAAGATATTTCCCATTACTAGGTAAGGCAATACGTATCCAACAGTAGTTGATGCTATCAACCTATGTTGTAAAGATGAAATATATTATACCAGTTGTTAGGCTCTTCACTTGTTCACCTTGCGACGCCTCTTTACCCGAACTAGAAGTTGGGCGCCCTTTCGAACTATGGCCTGGAATAAAAAAGTCGTGTAAAGAGAACTCTTCTTATACACAAACTAAGTAGATGAAACTGCCATTTGTAGACTCAAAAAAATACCCAAAAAAACAAAATTTGTTTGATCAACACTAGCATTTATATCTAGCACGTGTAGATATTGAAGACAGCACAGAATTTGACATGTTAAACATAAAACCTATAAAACCAAAGAAATAATTTGGCAGGAGCAAAAAACTTGAAAACATAAAAACTGCAGAGCACATTTTATATTGCGTATAGTTACCTCGTTGACTGTTTGCTTCAGAGCCAAGCGTTGGGAAATCACCAGTACTTAGTGTGAACCCAGGCCCATGTGATGAAGATCCCTACACAGTTAAAAAAAAATATGAACTGAATGATGTATTGAATCCTGATCTAGACTCAGTTCTAGGTCTGCAGTATTACCGATCTATCAATAGTCCTTATCGATGCTTTCACATTGTCTGAAGCATTATCCGCAAATCGAGAAAGTTGTGAACTTCCGGGTCTTGTTTCCGCACTTCGGGGACGATTTGAGGCCATTGGTAGATGAGGTGATAGAAATGTGCCTGATGCTGAAGATGGACGAGAATTTGGACCCCAAGCATTGGGTGAACCAAGTGATTCACTTCCAGCTGTTGATGGCCTTGAGCCTCCGCCAGAGGAGGGCCGGCCATTGAAGTGACTAGATGAACTGGAACTTCCATCATTCTTGGTAGACAGAATTGACGAGGGACCCCATGCGTTTGGTGTTGTAGATGGTGCTTTGCTGCCCCAGGTGAGGGTGCCCCTAACATTGAAACAAGAGTCTCATGACACAGTAATTATGGGAGAACATCGAGACCATCCTAAAACTTAAAATGAGCAGCTAGGAAACAAGGATGCATACTTACTTTGGAACAAGTTCCAGATTGGGATCAAGACCATTGTTTTCCAACCTAAATAAAAAAAAATCAATCCACATATAGAAAAAAAAGCCTCTTAACGATTTGCTATTAATAACCTAGGAAAATTATTACCTCTGACTTGGTAAATTAATTGGTTTTGGGACTTTTCCCAGAACAGTCATACCAGATTTCCTTGCAGGAGTAGCACCCCATCTGAAGGAAGCCATAGGGAATTTGATTATGAAAGTACAAAGACAAATGTTGGCAATCAGTACAACAAAAAATGTACCCATACAAATTACAAATATGAGATATCACAAAACAAGGCAGTTCATAATATGGACACAATATTAATCAGCAGGTGCAACAGAAGAATTGTTACAGGTGGGACAAAATACAGGAAGCAAAATTATGTTCAGAAGCTTTTGAGATAACTAGCACCTGGCTAGTTCTGAATGGGCCAAGATACTGTGCCTTATCACCTCAATTTGTGAGGTGTACACGCAATTGCGCAACAAACTTTCGTATGTTATTGTGAAATCATTAATTAGGGATTCTCAACCTAAATATTGCTTCCTCTGATCACAAATGTAAGTCCATTTACGTCTGTCCTAAGTCAGCCTTTTCAGCTTTTACTAGCAATATCTATAAAGATATATTATCTTAATGAGAAGATATATATATTATTTTTCACTATATGAAGTATGAACCTACTAGTTTCGATCTTGTGTTGAAAATTTTGATATTGACGGTTGAGATAAGAATAGACAAACCTAGAAGAACTTATTGTGACCGGAGGAAGTACAAGTAGAGCATCACAGCTTTTTACTAAGCCCACCGTAAAATCACAAATAGGTTACACAGAAAAGTTGCAAAAAAAAAAAGGCCTGATTCAAACATGGCAAAAGGTAAGCAAACTCACTCACAGCGCAGAGCATAAAATCACCGCATCATTAACAGCCTCTGGTTTTGTCCCCGCAAATGGACTACCGGACACATCCAATGTCCAAACCGACAAAACCTCCATATAATTCTCACCAATAAAACACTTAGGCGCCCGCATGATGACACAAGTGCCACACCAGCTGAACTTTGTAGCTCCATTGAGCCAATCAGCAGCTCAATGTCAAACCCAACCATCCAAAAGCTAGCATCTATACCTCCAAAATCAATTGAAACAGAGGCTGCGGCTCTCACGCCCCCACCGCCCCACACCAAACATATGCTAATTTTCTAAATTTTTTATAGAAAAAAAAAATCACACGTACCAATGCACAGGCACTACACGATCAAACCAGAATTGCGAACGGAAAGTTCAATAAGATAATTGTGTCGTGTGGGAGCATAGGATGGAGATCACGAACCTCCTGTCCGTGGTGAGCAGGCTCGAGGCCATGGCCCCTCTTCCCCGCGAAGAAGCTCCCCCGCGGAAAACGCCTCTCTAATTCCCCGGTGCTGAATCGAGCGGAACCAACTGCGGAGCGCGAGCGAGGCCACAAGGCCGCGGGAGATCGAGGTCTCTGGGGCCGCCTCCCAGGAGCCGCGGGGGGGGCGGGGGGGAGAGAGAGAGAGAGAGAGGAACGCCGAAACCCTAGGGGTCGAACGGAGGAAGCGATCAGCGCGGGAAGCGGTCCGCTCGGATCAGCGGCGCACGGCGCGAAGGCGGGTGCCGGAGCAGGTAGGGGGTGGGGGTAAACGGGCCCTCGTCGCCCTGCCGTCCGGCGAGCGGCGAGCGGCGGCGGCGGTGGGGGTGGACGACAGGTGGGGCCCGCTCGTCAGAGTTGGAGGCGGGATGCCGAGGCGACGGGTGTGGGGGGGGCGGGGGGGACGGGGAGGGAAGAGAGAAGGTTGGAGAGGCGTTCGTGAGAGCGATAATTAATAATAAAGGGTCGGAGAGGACGGACGCGTGGCGTGGCGGGAGTGGACGCGGGGACGGGAGCCCGTGCGCTCCCGTGGCCCCCAGATGTCAGGGAAAGGCACGTGGCGGAACGGGAGCGGAGGAGATGCGTGGGATGGTGTGGCTGCAGGGAGCATAGATCCGGTGTCGGGCTTGGGATGGTGTGTTTGGGTGCTTGGATTTGGCTGGCCACATCTGATCCCATTTCAGGCTTGCTGCTAACGATAACTGGTCTGTTCGTTTGTTGGTTTCTGTGCTGATAAGATTGGTTGGGGTTAGTTTGTTGTGAGAAGAAAACACTGTTGATTGATCGATAAGTCTTGGCTGAAACCAACCAGCGAACAGGTTGAACGACACAACTCTCCGTTCACCTTTTTTATTATTGACTCATGATCATTTTTAAATTAAAAATCTATTAAGGGTATGTTTGGTTTGAGTCCTAGCCTCATGATCCAAGCGCAAGGGGCGTGTTTGGTTCAAGATCCAGCAAATGCCCTGTTCGCTTGGCTAATAAGTCATGGCTGAAAGTATTGTTGGCTGATTTGTTGTGAGAGAGAAATATTATTCGTTGACTGAAAAAGTATAACTTATAAGCCAAACGAACAGGGCGAAAGTTATCTGACCTAGACATCCATTCTAGGTGTCTGATTTTGGAAGCATAGGATTGGATGGACCTGTCTGGTCGGAGCATCCCAAGCCAAAGTTCAAGCAAGCTCCTAATGTTGATATTTAGCCCAACCTCATCCTAGATTATAGGAGCCAAAGACATCCTAAATGCATTGTTTAGTTTTGTTAGTACTACTATTTTAGTAAGCCATTTATTATTTGCTACAAAATCATAATTGTAAGTAAGTATTATTATTAATGCGAAATTATTAACACAATAATATTAAATTTACAAATAGAAATATATACATATATATGGTTAGTACTTGTCCAAGCGAAACAGAAATGGAAGATCGTGATAATTTAAAGAGTTATAGCACATGGAACATGGTCGACTCACAAAAGCCGTTATACATCCGCAAAGTGGACTAGAAATTGCTATTTTTCACATGTCTCTTTTGTTCCAATGTTTCTTAGGCAGCTGATCTTAATCATTGGATTCCAATCTGACAACTAACCCATCTTGGCTAGCTAATCACGTACTCAATCTCTCAAGGCAAATTCACCACGGGGAACTCACGACATAGCCCAGCAAAGACTATTGTACTTGTTCAATTCTTTTATCACATTGCCTCACTTCCATAAACATAGTTTGAGAAAATTAAATCTAAGACTAATAAACTCAATCTTTTGTTGTATATAAATCAATTTTGATCTATTTTCACCTTTTATGTGCAGACCTGATGATCAAAAAGATGATACCTCTTTTTTCTAGAGAGATGGTTTAAACTCAAATCTCTAGTCTTGATATCTCAATCCAGCTAATGATATTGATGTTTTGTTTGTCAAATGGATCCGTGAGCTTACAGACCTCACAATGTTCATCTTTGCCAAGCGCAAGATTTGTGCCCTTACATCAACAATTTGGTTTATTTTCCCATAACATAGCCACTACAAATACTACTAATGTTATATATCTCAACTTTTTCACAGCTAGCAAATTGTAAAAGCTCTTAGGTCATTCTCGGTGAAGAGTTTGTAGCATTGTTTCCAATATGCAATAAAATATGAGTAAAATAGTCACTCTCGATACATAGTTTCATTCTTTTATTTAAGATGACTCGTATAGTTGGAAATCGAGCTAAGGGAGTTTTCATCCCTATGGAGCTCAATCTCTCTCTCTCTCTCTCTCTCTCTCTCTCTCTCTCTCTCTCTCTCTCCTTAAGACGTTACTACTTTTGTGGTAACCTATTACTCCCTCCATCCACGAAAGAATGCACTTCTCGTGTTTCGAGGAGTTAAACATTTTAAACTTTAACTAAATTTATATAAAAAAGTACTAACATTTTACGATATGAAATAAATATCATTGGATTAGTTATCTATATCTATACACTCCTATAAAGCTAAACCCCACTAGATGATTTTTCTCTTCATGCAAGGTGTCTACATCATTTCCCACTAAGTGACCCACTAGATGTTCTACCTATTCATGCAAGGTGACCACATCATTCTCCACTAAGACCATATCATCCCTTATTAATTACAAAAAGATATCCACGTCATCTTTTTCATGTGGAATACTTTGTTTCATCACCTATTCCTCTATAACTAAATCAAATATTCTATTGGTTTTTCTTCCGTTAGTTTATCGAATTTTTACCAAATCTGATACAATAAAATAGCGTGCAAGTCAAATTCATATATATATATATATAGTATACAGAATACCATATAGTAATGCTACGTATGTAACAGATTTATTTTTAAGAAAATCCGACAGCAACGTGTGGGGTAGTCTTCTAGTAGAATATATTTTTATGATAAACTTATTTGGAGACATAAATATTAATATTATTTACTATAAACTTAATCAAAATTAAGTTAGCTTGACTGACATGGATCCCATAATTAAATTTTTTTTGGACGAAGGGAGTATATTACGATGATGAAACCATGATGCACCAAGAGGCTTTAGATCCTCAAAATCAAACATGGGCGCGGTACCTACTGGACGCAGGGCAGAAATGAAGTTGACTGGGCTGTAAAGGCCCTTCGCCGATGTGTATGTGTAGGAAGGGAGTCGTTTGGGCCGTTTAGGCTGTATATAGTATCCCTTCCCTAGCTAGGCTCGTCTACGGTCTACCTACTGCTTGTAACTCCCTCCAAAAAAAAAAAAAAAAACCTACTGCTTGTAACAGCTACCAGCTGCTCCTTTTTAAATAGCTTCCCGGCCCGGTGCTCTGCTCACCCGAGGTTCCCAAGCTGCCGAGCATGCAATAGAGGGTAGAGGCCGGACGAACTTGCACGGAGCCAAGGAGATGTCGCAGTCGCAGCGAGCACCGAGCTCGCCGTGCGACGCCACGTGGAGCCTCGCCGGCGGCGGCGGTGGCGTCCCCAGGAGGCACGCCCGGTTGCAATCTCCGGTGCGCGGGCGGTCCGCCTCCGCCACGCCCAGCTGGCCCAGCTGGCGGTGGTCCTCGACCTCGATGATGGATGACGGCAACAACGCTGACGATGAATGCGGCGTGGTGGTGGTGCCGGCGAGGGGCACCGAGACGCCCGCCACGCGCGCCCGAATGCCCGGCCTGTCCCGGTGCGCGTCCCCGGAGGCGCGGGCGAGGATCGGCGCGGCCTCGCCGGGCACCGCGCGGCGCGTGGCCGTGCGGCTCTACGACAGCCTCCGCCGCCACGGGCTGCGCCAGGAGGCCAACCGCGCGTTCCGCGACGCCGTCGTCGCAGACGGCGACGCGGCAGCGGACGGTGGTGGTGGCGGAGCGACGGAGCCAGAGCTGACGGGGATGGCGTGCCTGCTCAAGGACGGCTTCGTCGGCTACCTGAGGGAGCTTGCCAAGATCACCCCACCTGTTCCTAAGCAGGTAATTAAACGTATACGTAGTATATGTCAGCGCGTTCATGCATGGTTGCAGTTTTGATCAAATTTATTTATAAAAACATATTAAAATCTACTATACCAAATTAATAAATGCACTATCAAGATATATTTTATGGTACCTTTAACAAAACCGAACATGATGTTGTACTGTAGATGTTTGTGCATTTTCCCTATAAACTTAAAATCAAAATTGATCCTTGAAATTTGACTTAAAACAAAACTAAAATGACTTATAGTCTGGAAAGGAGAGAGCAATGCAATATGTTCAACATTTCAAGTTAAGCACTTCTTTGGTTTGTCCCATTCTTAAATCAATAACTGTGGATGTGAGAAATGTCCCATCGCCGTTCATCATCATTTGCACCATAATACTTCACAAAGTTGATCACGCTAGCTGGAGTAGCAGTTTCAATCCAAAACTTGTAGAGAGTCAAATAGATTACTTAAAAGAACAAATTAAAAGCAGAATCATACTCGAGTAATGCTCCGAAGTGACGAAGCAGAAGCAAATGTAGTTTTGAAACGTCAGGACAATGTCTCTAGCTAGTTTTAGTTCATTGGTTTCAGTTTCAATAATCTTGTCTTTCAAAAAACATTCAATAATCTTCGTGCTTTTAAAAAAAATACCAACCATTTTAACTGAGAACTCTTTGGATCTTCAAATGTGCTTTAACTTGAGAACTAAACTTGTCTTTTTTTTTCAAATGAAACGAATTGTAACTATATATATACATATCTTCTGTGCAGCCAGGAGCCAACCATCCACAAATTAAACAGGTTGGCTTGCATACATATAGGCTGTCATCAGTTCTACACAAGCTTATATATAATATATACTATGAACAAAAATAGCATAACTAGCACTAGTAGAGAACAGACCTTTGATCCTTAATCAAAATGGGCTTTAGTCCCACATTTTTTGCGCCCAGGACTAAAGATACCTTTAGTCCCGGTTGGTGGCTCCAACCGGGACTAAAGGTCCCTGCCCAACGGCTACTACGCCAGGCAGAGGTGACAGGGACCTTTAGTTCCGGTTGGAGCCACCAACCGGGACTAAAGGTATACTTTTACTCCCGGTTGGTGGCTCCAACCGGGAGTAAAGGTATACTCCTGGGGCCGTGGCTGCGCCCGGGGTTGAAAAGTTACCTTTAGTCCCGGTTGGAGTCACCAATCGGGACTAAAGGTCCCCTTTATATCCCGGCCGTCTCCTTCTTCCTCCCCGAGCCCGAGCTCAGCACATTTTGAAGCTCACTGCACTAGTGTTCTTGCTTCCTCCCTCCCTCCATTATTCCTCCATCCATTCTTCGATTTCTTTGATTCCTCCGTCGATTCTTCAGTTATAAATGTTACCAATCTCATACTCTCATTTTTCACCATTGTCTTATCTCATTTTGTTCACTATATATATATGGTTCTTTATTATGGTTTTTTTCATTTGTAAGCAATTTGAGCTCAAAATCACTTCAAGCTTGCATATTTACATGAAAGAAGGTTAAAGTAGCTAGTTGAACTTGCGGACCGTGTTCATCTCGGCGAGCATGTTCTCTACCGAGCGGTAACGGACGTGAAGGAGGAGCTTTGATTCTAAGAGGGAGAGCGGCAACGGTCGTGGAAGACCGTGTTCTCTTCCTCATAGAATCGGAGCTCTTCCGTGGCCAAGTACGGTGCCGTCCGGTGGAGAAATGCTCGTCGAGATGATCACGTAAGCAAGTTCAACTAGTACGGATGGTTATTTATTCATATGTCCTGATATCATCGCAATAGTCTCATCAATCACCGTACCCAAACATAGTATATATATAAATATAAACTTAGAAAATAGTTAGAAAATTATAAAAAATCCGTACTAGTTGAACTTGTGGACCGTGTTCATCTCGGCGAGCATGTTCTCTGCCGAGCGGTAACAGACGTCAAGGAGGAGCTTTGATTCTACAAGGAAGAGCGACAATGGTCGTGGAAGACCGTATTCCCTTCCTCGTAGAATCAGAGCTCTTCCTTGACCAAGTACGGTGCCGTCCGGTGGAGAAATGCTCGCCGAGATGATCACGTAAGCAAGGTCAACTAGTATGGATGGTTATTTATTAAAACATGTTTTTGAGATATAGATAATTTTATAGTTTCTTAATTTTATTTGTTTATAAAATGAGAAATTTATATTGTATTAAAAATGAGTATAGAGTAGATGGGATGGCAATGACTTAGGGTCCTCGGCCTCTCATGGGTTTCCAAAGCGACTTAGGCCGGGCCTCCCTCTCATTCCATGCGGCAAGTGTCGTGATGAGACGAAGATTGTGATGGAGTACCGAGTGAAGAAGGAGAGTCCCAACAAGGATCGTATCTTCTACAAGTGCCCGGATCGCAATGTGAGTTATTTTATCGTATTTAATGATTATTGTTAGTTTATACCTATTTTCATGATGGCTGTGATTAAAGTTCTAATTTTTTGTTTTAATTTTAGTGGGATGGCAGTGGACGATGTTCAGGCTTCTACTGGGAGGAAGAGTATGTTGAACTCGTGCAAAAATATCTTGCACAACAGGCATATACGGTGGCTAATGAGGCAGTGATCCAGCCGAAGAAGCCCAAAGATGTTGCACAATCGGGGGATCTGTCTGTTTTAGTTGAGATTGGTCGCGAAATCCTTGTGCTCCTGAAATGTATTTTAGCTTTAGTTCTTTTAGTGGTAGTTGGGATTGTCTACATTGTAGCGATGCTTTCATAAATTTGTACATTTTGTGGAGGCACACATGTTGTATAAATAATTAATTATGATCTAGGTTTTAATATGGTATTTATGTCATGTAATGCAGATGACCCGGCATTGGATGTACAATGCTGATCGCCGCTCCCAAGAGTTCATTGACGGCGTGCATTCTTTGTTACGTGCAGCCGAGGCAAACAAACGCGACGGTTTCATGTGCTGCCCATGTGCCATATGTAAGAATACGGTGGAATATCCTTGCTCAAGGACTCTTCATTCACACTTGTTCAAGTCGGGTTTCATGCCAAACTATATTTGTTGGACGAAGCACGGAGAAACCGGCGTTGTAATGGAAGAAGGTGAAGAAGAACAATGGGACAACAATGATATTATTCCCGATGGTGCGTGCTTCAATGATACTGCAATGGGAGAAGCTGAAGAAGAGGTAGCCATAGAAGATGAGCTTGCTGATGATCTTTGTCAGGTCATTCGTGACGCACAAAAAGAATGTGAAAGTGAAAAGGAGAAGATCAAGTTCGAGCGGATGCTAGAAGATCACAACAAATTGTTGTACCCAACTTGTGATGCAGGGCAGAAAAAGTTGGGAACCACACTAGAATTGCTGCAATAGAAGGCAAAGAATGGTGTATCTGACAAGGGATTTGGAGAGTTACTAAAAATCCAAAAGAAGATGTTTCCGAAGGACAATGAATTGCCCGCCACTACCTACGAAGCAAAACAAGTTGTCTGTCCTATGGGGCTAGAAATCGAGAAGATACATGCATGTCCTAATGACTGCATCCTATACCGTGGCAAAGAGTACGAGAAATTGGATGCATGCCCGGTATGCCATGCATCGCGGTATAAGATCAGGCGAGATGACCCTGGTGATGTTGAGGACGAACGTCCACGGAAGAAAATCCCTGCCAAGGTTATGTGGTATGCTCCTATAATACCACGCTTGAAACGTCTGTTCAAAAACAAAGAACATGCAAAATTGTTGCGATGGCACAAAGAAGACCGTAAGGTAGACAATATGTTGAGACACCCTCACCGATGGGTCCCAAAGGAGAGTAATCGACGAGAAATTCTGAGTTTGCAAATGACGCAAGAAACTTAAGGTTTGCTTTAAGTATAGATGGTATCAATCCTTTTGGAGAGCGTAACAGTAGTCATAGCACTTGGCCCATTACTCTAAGTATCTACAACATTCCTCCTTGGTTATGCATGAAGCGGAAGTTCATTATGATGCCTCGTGCTCATCCAAGGCCCGAAACAACCCGGCAATGACATCGATGTGTACCGAGACCACTTATTGATGAACTTCTCATTTTGTGGAATAAAGAAGGTGTACGTGTGTGTGGGATGAGTACAAACAGAACACTTTGATCTGCGAGCATTGCTTGTTCAGAATAATCAATGATTGGCCCGCTCTAAGTAATTTTTCGTGACACCAAACAAGGGATATAATGCATACACACACCGCTTCAAAGATATTAGAGGTGTATTCTTGAAAAAATGTCGAAAGGTCGTGTACCTTGGCCATCGTCGATTTCTTCCTGCAAATCACCCCGTAAGAAAGAAAGGCAAGCATTTTAAAGGGAAGGCAGACCACCTGACCAAGCCTCGCAACCGAACCGGTGAGGATGTACTCGATATGGTCAATGATGTGAAAGTCGTCTTTGGAAAAGGACATGGAAGCCAACCTATTCCGAACGACGCTAACGGTCACGCACCCATGTGGAAGAAGAAGTCCATATTTTGGGACCTACCCTATTGGCAAGTCCTAGTGGTCCGCAGCTCGATCGACGTGATGCACCTGATGAAGAATCTTTGTGTGAACCTGCTAGGCTTCATGGGTGTGTATGGAAAGCCTAAGGACACATTTGAAGCACGACAGGACCTGTGTTGTTTGAGAGAAAGAGACAACCTGTATCCAGAGAAGATAGATGATGGACGCCATTACTTACGTCCTGCCGGCTACACTCTAAGCAAAGAGGAGAAGGAAATCATGTTTGAATGCTTAAACAACATCAAGGTACCATCTGGATTCTCCTCGAATATAAAGGGTATTATAAATGTGCCAGAGAAGAAATTATGTAACTTAAAGTCCCATGACTGTCACGTTCTCATGACACAATTACTTCCAGTTGCATTAAGAGGAATTCTACCTCCAAATGTACGTCTAGCCACCGTGAAGCTATGTGCATTCCTCAATGCAATTTCTCATAAGGCAATTGATCCAACTGATCTAGCTAAACTACAGAATGATGTGGTTCAAT